AGACCATGGTTCAGATCCCTCACACTTGCCTCATTTGTAGCAGGGACTTGAGCTTAAGCTGACCTTGTGCCAGATGAGGATCCCAGCCACTGAAGGGAACTAGCTGGATACTGGAGGAGCACCACAAAGTCCCTCCAGGTTGGGCAGTTCAGTCTAACTGGACTGTGAAAGATGCAAGCTGCAAGCCAGGCTCCTAATTCAGTGCCCACACCAGAACAAAAAAACCATTGCACCATCCTCCTCCTTCCCACGACGGTAAGAAAGGCAGCGCTGTGCTTATAGCCAGGAGCTTGCTTGTGGAAAGTACTGGTTTTCCCTGTCCCTTCTGTGTCCCACTTCTATGCCCCAGACAGCCTGACTATCTCTCAGGACATACCCCTGAACCTTCAGTAGTATGTTTGACAGCGATTTACAGAGACTACCATTAAACTGCAGTTAATAAGCAGCTGCACCAGCTTCAGCCTTTCAGCAGCACATCCATACCACAGCTATTATTCAAGGATTTTTTTTTTAAAGATATGGAAGGAAAAAATTCAACAGTGAATTTTACCTTGGGATCCAGCTTTGAAAAAGGACTGGGTTGGCCTCCCCACGTGCTTATTTCCATGATATTTTCAATATCTTCTTTCATCAAGCAGTAAGAGTCCATGAACGTTATAGCTTCTTGTACACCGTCTGCTCCGAAGTCTTTCAAGGGCTGGACCAGCGCATCCCGCAAATACGACAAATACTCCATATTTACTGTCCTCTTGCATGTCTGGGTCCTTTGTCAAATTGAAAGTAGTAAGTAAGCCTGTACAACCACCGCTAGTCCCTCTAAACACAAGCAGCCCGTAGGCAGGCCCTCAGCAAATGGCTGTTCAGCTGCCCTAGGAGTTAACTGCAAGATGCACTTGTGCCACACCAGCAGCAGGGATAACCGATGCACGGTATTCAAACACCAAACAGCCTGGGGAAACACATCCCTAACTGAGGAACCACTTCAGGGGTATAAAATTAAAAGGTCACAGTACTGCTGACTCTAAGAGTGTCTGCAGTCCGACTGTTGTCCAGATTAACTGCTAAGGAAGTGTCACCAGCAACATACGAGGATATTCAAAGAAGATACGCTTAAGTGTGTACCAAGCACAGCAAGGAATTAATGGTAAGTAATGAGTTACAGGAGAACTAAATATCCACATGGATATAAGCCAGAAGAGGAATGTCAGTACTACCTGAGACTCATGTGCATCGCCAGTTCTTGAATGATACGATCATGTTTGCCTGTGGATGAAAATTTCCCCAGCCAGCTGGGAAAGACAGGAAACTGGGACATGTAACCTCTCATCAGCTCCCCCGGGAGCACACTCGCATAAATAGCCTGCAAAAGTAACACACACGTCAAACTCAAAGCACAATGAATCGGTCTCACTGACACTGTGACACACTGCCCTCCTTGTCTGCATGAAAGGGGGTAGTCAGTACAGTTCTACAGTGGAAACAGCTCCTTTAAAGAGAACTCTTTCTTGGTTGTTTGTTTCTGTTCAACCCCCTTTTAGTTTCATCTCTTGTACCTTGTATCTCTTCATCATTTGTTACCACGTTCTAAAATATCTGTGAAATTATCTGGGTTTTAAAAAGCCACTAAAAAAAGCCTGTTCATTGATCATGTCCAGTATAGAGTGCAGTCAAACCGCTGACTTCGCACAAAGAAGGGCTGTAGCCTCCAGCAGATGGACATGGTGAAGGAGACATTTCCAAAGAACACCACCAATCTACATGAACTCCACTAGCTCAGCTCCTAAGCACCTTTCCCTGCCTGGACCTGCCCTAAGCCAGGGGGTGGGCTAGATGACCTCCAGCAGTCCCTTCCGACCTGCGCTACGGTACGTTGTCTGAGGCCATTCATAATCCTTTAAGCACATGTCTCGTCACTGTTTCAGTGATCATTAAAAGCAGCACAGTAACCCTTTAAAGCTTCAGTCCTCTGTACTTGGGAGAAACACTGGCCTGGTGAGAGGCTGGGACAGCAAGCACAGAAGCAAAACAGAGGAGGCTCATAACCGCGCGTCAGAAGACAGACACACGTGCCGTGTGCTCCTATGCTTCACAAAGAAGGGTCAAGCTTTTCCAAGTTTCAGAAGACTTCAGGTCATGATACAGCGTGGGTTTGACAATACGAATACGGGAAACTGCTCTGCTCACCAGCAGAACAGAGACTACCACATGCAGTATGAACTATATAGGTCATAAAAATTACCCTGAAACATCAATTTCAAGGACTCGGGCTTTTACACTGGACACCCATGAAGCACATAAGATGACTGTTAAGTGCTCACCTGTGTTGGAAGAAGATTCCAGTTTTGCTTGCTACGAATCTGTTTGTCCACTATATCACCATCACATATGCTATCGGCTGCTCTACTCAAGAGCACCAAATGCTTTTTCAGATTTCCTCTGGAAAATACCAAAGTTGACCGTATTACAAAGCAGAAGTATCCAGACAAGTTTTAGTCTAGTTTTACCTCTCGACACAAAAGCCTATGTCAATTTAGGGTATGGAATAACTCACCCGGCTGCAGCAGGTTTCACATGTACATAGTTCTCTTGGACAAAGAGAGGTGCTAGGGAATAATCATGGAAGAAAAGATCCGATTTGTCTATGAGAGACATACGAGAAGCCTCCTCTCCAGTAGCAAAAACCTTCCGGACAACATCAAAAGGGCCCTAAATAAAATATTTCAAGAAGTCAGTGGGATGCAGGTCAACACAAACAATAAGACACAGCACTACAGTATCAACAAAGTTACTGTAGTTATGTACCCAACCACATCTGGATGCATCAGCACAAGTTCAACATCCAGTTTTTCCTCCCTAGCACTTCACTAGTTTTGAGAATTGTGGTTTATGTCCAATATTAAGAGAATTATCTCCTAAACAAAGGACTCAGGATGAGAAGTATGAGCTTCATAATTGCACCTTATGTAAGAGACCAGCACATAGAAGTACATGCTCAGTCCTGGATTTACTGCTCAACTGTTTGTGGCAAACGTGACAGCTCCTCACACATCTAGGCTGTCAGTGCTTTAGTTCAGAAGATGCTTATAAAGCCTATCAGAATATGACAGTAAAAGCCAATCCAGTATTTTGCACTTACCAGCCTGATATCCTTTTTGGCTCTGCTGGCATCTGTTTTAGCCTCATCGTAAGTCAATGATTTATCTTTTGCGCACCACATATTAAGATTATGTAAAACCTAGAGAACAAAATTTACAATTTGGTAGCATAACAGCATTTAAATGGAAGACTTGAGGAGAAAACAGCCTGATCTCTGCATAAAAATAACACTGTTCAAATACTACATTGAGGTCAAGGACTTGTACATGACATGGTCTCTGCATGGACACTGATGCTGAACTGGCACCGACCTGTCTGATGTCCTGATTTGCTGCCAGAATTATCTCTTGCATAGCAGGTGCTGGAATTTTTAAACCTTCTTTGAATGCAATAGACATCATGGCACCCTGTAATACACGCAATTGAGAAATTGTCACTAAAGAATTCCTGTGAATTCTTCCCCCTACAGAACACACTGACACATCCATGAAAGAGCGTCACCCTATTTTTCTAGGTTTTTTTAAAGCACACGTAACAAATTTTCTCTCAAACATAAGTCATCCCTTGTCATCGCTGGAAAAAAAAAAAGCACATTTTTTTCTTTTAAAAAATATTTCTCAACACATTTCAGATAGACTTGTAAATCTGAAAGGCTTTGGGATACTTCATTCTTTGGGAAGAAAAACCTCAGACAATCCATTTTGAGAAGCAGAGTTACTCACTGAGGTGATCCATTAAGTTTTAAGTGGCATTTCCAATTCTGTGTAAGTTCTGCCGCATGAAGACAGAAGTTACTGATGGCAACTCAGGGCAGCCCACACAGCCCTGGACAGCCGCCTTACCTTAATCTGTTCTAGACGAGGTCTCTGAAAACGAAGATCAAAACAGTAGTGGACCAAGGAACGAATTTTAGGATGGTTTCGATCGTTACACATACAGATGATGGGTATCTTTGTGTGTCTAATCAAACCAATCAACTCCTGTGATTTAAACACACCACAACAGTTACATTAGATACCTCAGAGAATGTTTAAAGTGTCATACCAAGCAGCGTTAGTCCCTGCCTTAAATCAGATCCTTGACAGAGGCAAGTCTGCAAAACTCTTCCTACTGTAATCATGTTTCCACACGGTGAAAACTCAGCCCCTCTCCCAATTTTTCCACTTGCTGTTCTATTCAGCTGCAATAAATCTGCTGTCTACCCACTTCCAGCAACCACATTTAGGCCATTCTTCATGAAGCAATTAAGATCAATAGTCCAGAGCAGACCTGTCCACCTGCAGAACTAGATTCATTTGTCCAAAGGCCAGTTTGACCCAGCCCGTGCCCAGAGGGAGCACCCATCTTCCTGACTGCACCCTGACTGCACCCTGCCATGAATGATGAAGAAGCAGGAAGTTAAAAGATCAGCTCTTCCCTGTCCAGAGAGCTGAATCCTGAGGCTTCAGCATTATTAGCCTCACCAGAACAAACTGCCTGCTCGAATGAAGGTGAAATTCAGTTCAATTTCATATTCCTGCAATGTAAACGTCTGCATCTGAAACAAGAGCTGTATGCCCTTTATTGTCAAAGTATCACATGTGACCACAGGAAATCTTCAGAAGCTAAAACTGGAGCTGCTACGGAGAACAAAGAACAATACTGCCTATGCCGCATCGTTCACTCAGTGTTACTGCCTACTGCAGGGAGCCACTGTCCCGGTCAGATTCCAAACCTCCCACTGCAGGCAGATGTCAGCTGCAGAGACCTGAGGACAAATTCACCTGTCCAGGAATAAGCATCTGAACTGCACACCCCCAAGTTCATCACTCCAGGTTTCTTTTACAGAAGTATTTCCCCCCCACCCCCTACCAATGCGTAACAGTACTCTACAAAGACTTTCTAGAGACCGTGGGTTGAGGACAGCAGACTGGCTTGAGATACTTGGTGCTGCCTATGGTGTGCACTCTTAGCAATGGCATTAGCTGGTAACTGTAGCAGTTTCACCTGAATCCCTCCTCTGTCTTCATTGCCTGCCATACCATCCACTTCATCCATGATCAATACATGTTTCCCGCTAACTGATGAGGATGTGCCTGAAAATGAATATGGACAAGAAAATGAGATGGGAATAAAATAGGGTCTTGCTCAGAGTTTTACCCAATGCTTTATAGGTTAGGTAAGCCCATCCTAGGCAACTGAGGTGGTGGTGAACCTCTTGTTCCACCACTTGATCACATGAATCTGTGTTCACAGAATAGACCTGGCCATAACCTCATGTCATCTTCCAACAACGTCCCACGCAACAGAAGAGCAATTGCAGAGTTCTTGAGTAGTTTGTGCAGATTAACAACTGATTCTACTGGTAGCAGGATTTAATTCCACAACAGCAGATGAAGCAAAGCCGCTTACTAGATGAAGCCATCTCTATTAGAGCCAGAACCCTCCACATGATGAGCTAGTTCAATTCCTAACACTGGGGTATAACAAGGAAGCTCTGTCCCTCCTGTATCCAGACTGGTAACACAACAAAAATCCTCCTTCAAACAACAGACATACCAGAACAGAAGTCTTTGATGCTGGTGTTGTTAAGTGATTCAGCAACTACTTCCTTTAGACTGTTCTTACTCCGAGTGTCACTGGCATTCAGCTCCACATAGCTATACCCCAGTTCCTAGTCCAAACACATAAACCACACACACAAAAAAAGAAAAAAAAAAAAAGAGGACACAGATCAGTGAAAGAGCATACGCATCCTCAGAAAGAGGACTGCAGGGTTCCAGAAGAAAACTCTTACAACACTGTTTTCACATATAATTTGTAGCTTTGGTGCCTTTTTCCCTTTATACACCTTGTATCTCACACTCCAAAAATATTTATAACCAGATACAAGACAGATTTTTTTTTTTTTTTTAAGGTGGCAGGGGGAAGTCAGCAGCACAGAACTGCCACCAGGGATAGAAAGAGAGCTATGAGCCAAGGCTGGCTAAGCTTCATGGTATTTCCAGCTGCATATCAAAGTCGTCTTGTCCTGACCCTTTATGCATAAACATGCCACATGCCTCTGGAAGCTGAAGGAAAGAGACAATTTTAACTATTTAACAGCTAGGAAACACATCGCTCCCCCAGCAGCCCTGACACTTCAGAACAGGGCTGGACTGCCTGTCAGTCCCTGGAGGAACTTAGTCCCGCTGCTCCTTTATCAGCGAACTCCCCTGCCAGGGGCATGCCACAGCCAGCAGCAAACCACGCAGCTTTGTTCCTGCAGCTTGAATGACCCAGTTTTGCTGGCTGCTCCTGTGGAGCACAGGAAAATGCCCTGCAGAGACCTGAAGCAGGTGTGAGCAGGTTGGAAACCAGAAGCAGGGAAGACCATGCACTGGTGCAGAAACAAGCCCAAGTCAGCACACCCAGCTTTTCTGCAGGTCTAGTTTTGGGTGAGGCATCAGTTTGTTGCCATAAAACTCTCGGGCAGGGGACGGAGATTAGAAGTTTCTCTACGCAGCTCAAATAATGAGGTAAGTAATCATTCCTTCCCAGCACAAAGAGCAGAGAACTGATGATAGTTCTCAACCCTTCCGAGCTGGTAGTATCATATTCTAAAAAAGTTCTTGCAAGTCAAAGAAGAACAAAAATAATCTGTAAGTTGATACACCACCACTATTAATAAGTTAGCTTTAAGGATATTTCTACTATATGGAATTATCAGCTAAGTCTCATGACAGTGGAACACAGCGTACCAGCTAAGTTAGGAAAAACTAATTTCTAAATTCAGATTTAGAAACAGACACATAGCCCTGACAACTTCTCTCATTCTAAAGTAGTAATTGAATTTAGAATAAGCCTGGGAAAGATATCTAATTTTATTAGACAGATAAAAACCATTACCAAATCCGTCACAGAAACTTTCAAAAAGCTTGCCAGAATTTGACTCCCACTAAAATTACTGTAAATATTCTCTGACTTGTAGAACTAGTGCTGAATGCTCACAATTCTTTAAAACCATTGCCAGTTGTTCAACATACTGTGATATACACTTCCTCTCAGTATAACAAAGCAATGCAGACACCCACTACTACATTCTTGCCCCAGACCCGATAAATGTCCCTGACTATGTACGTACGTGTTACACCTGTAACGCTGTCCTGAGCGGGTGGAACCAGGCTGGGAGCAGACCCTGGTCACTTGGGGGATTCTCCACCTGCACACAGTATCTGTATCCAGGTACAGAAACAATACATAACAAAAAGTGCTGGGAACAACTTAGTATGAACTCACCTTACAAACCAACGAAGCTGTAGTAGTTTTACCAACTCCAGGTGGACCCGAAAGTAATGCTGCTTTAAAACCAGCACCATCATCTTTGCCTCCAGTTTTATTGCTCTTTGCTGTAAGAGAAGATTCCAGGTTTTACCTAGGTACGTATCACAAAGCAAACTGCACATTTCTAAAGATACCAATCATCACTAGAGTTTTTCCTCATTTAAGGCCTGACATGAATATCAAAACACACATATACAAGTGCATCCTCGCTATTTGGGGAAAATCAGCTTAAACCATCTTATTCAAGACTTGCAGTGACTCTAAACTGAAAAATAACAAAAGTGCTATTAATGCAATACAACTATTTCAGCAATTCCCTCACAACCACATCATCAAAAAACCAAACCCAAACAACTAACCAAAAACACCCCAAACAAACTAAACCAAACCCCAAACACACCACACAGAAAAACCCCACTACGCACTATGGTTGAAGTGAAACTTAAGTGCTATTTTAAACACAGCAGAAAAAAAAAGGTCTATAGGATGACACACGACTCATGACGTGGACTACTTGTCAGGCAGAACCAGGACCTTAACAACTCATCTCTTCCCCATGCACGAGAGCAGCCCTTCAGACACACTGCTAACCTGTATTTTCACCATGCATACAGACAGGTTAGCATTGGGCAACATTTCTCTTGGTGAGAAAGAATTCAACAGGCTGAATGCAAGGCCATTTTTATATACATTACTGCTAGGTTGTTTTGGGTTCTTTCAGAAAAAAATCACACTTAAGAGACAACTACAAGACTTAAAATATTTTCAGACACAGTTTTCTGTTCTGTTTTTCTTTTGGGGGGAGGGGTGTGGGCTGTGAGTGAACAACTGCTTCAACAACAACAAAACCAAACCGCCTCAGGCTCAACTGCTGCTAAAAATGCACCTGACTGCAGCCTCATTCCACATTTCTAGAGTTGCTCTGCTATCTCAGAGGCCCTTACTGGTGCAGGGAACCCGCAGTGCAATCGGCATGGAAGAACACAGAGAACAGTTAACCGCGCTCGTCACCTTGTCCATCTTCCGAGGCATTCTTGTGCCAATTTCTGAGCCATCGGAGCAGTTTATTGGCACAGCTTTGCTCGCCCTGCTGTCCAATTATTGCCTTAAGAGATACAGGCTTGTATTTATCCACCCATAGCAATTTCTCTGTTCCAGCTTCATTAATCTCAGAAACCAAGTTCCCCTCGGGTTTTGGGGCTTCTTTCGTCTCTACAGTCTGCCATTTGAAGTCCATACGCTTTCGGGCAGCAGTGGTTTCTTTCTTAACAGATTTGACAGTATCTCCTTTTTCAGGAGTAGACTTAGATTTTCTATTGTCAGGTTCCCTTCTGAAAGGGCTAAAATTCCTTTTTCCAGCTTCAGCTTTCTGTGGTGTCTTTTTAGGTCTTGACTCTGCTTTCTTTGCCTTAGGAAGATAAACATAAGAAAATTAAATGGAAATTTCAAAAAAATTCCATACAGTAAATAAACATAGTGTCTTTGAACACATGTACAGGAGCACTTAAAGTAACAAAGCTTATGTATTGATAAAAAAACCTTCAAGAACAGCTAAAGAAATATTCCTCTCAAAAGTAAACAAATGCTAAACACATCACTGCCTGGTTCTGTAGCACAACCCACAAGAAAGAGGCCGGACATATTCTGGTCATTCCAAGAGCAGTCCAGCCTGAAGCATGAAGCCCAGTGCATCATTATAAAAACAATGCAAAACTGATGACTGTCAGGTTGGAACAAACAAGCCAGACACGCACGAATCTCTCGCAAAACAAGACTTCCAGAAAGAGTTCAACCCAAAACAAACCAAAGCAAGTGAAAGTAGCTAGCTAGGAAGCTTAAGAGTTACTTTTCCTTAAGACATCGATGGTATCTTTACATGCAACAATTCATGTCCAGCCACATCAGAAGTGCAAACGCAACAGCTACTCTGAACGCACAACATGCTAGAGTTCAGAGATTTCAATAACATTTTATCAGCCACTGCAGACTAAATTTAAGTGTGCATTGTTACTGTTTTTACAGTATTCTCTGAAAAAATTACCTTTAATATTATTAGTTCAAGTACCACAAAGACAAAATCTGTTACATATACACACAGTTTGCATATAGTTGTCCCATGCCTACAGTACAATTCTATACTGGGCCTGCCTGGTACCACACGGTATCAGTCACAATTACTTACTTCAGAGAATAAACAAGTACTCTAAAACTGAAACCATCTAAGGAGATAAAATACAGAATAATGTCAGAGTATCTGACTGAGGGGATAACTTTAAGTATAGAAATGAAAGGTGAGAAAAAGCCCTATAGCTCTCAAGTAGAAGTCTTAAACACAAATACAGAATTTTCACTTTCAAGACTCTCAAACCTAGAAGGTCAAACTAACAACTGTAGGGTTACTGTTACTGGAAGACCAAAACTCCTTTCAACTAAAAAAAAAACAAAGCAAAAAACAAAAACCACCCCTTAGTTCATTATAAACAAACCTCTGTTTCAGCCGCCAGCTCATATTTGGACTTTTTGCCTGGCATAGTTCGAATAAGATCAAACAGGCCATCCTCATCAATAATTTTTGTCCCTAAAGTTGATGCCTGGAGCAAAAGTAAGAATTAAAAGTAAAGTTAGGAATTACATAATTCACTTCAAAGTGTTTTCCAGTAAAGACTATGTTACACATACAACACAACAACAAAAAGGTGGGGTTTTTTATATGTGTGTATATATAAATAATATATGTACATGTATATACACATAAACAAAACCAAAACAAACTCTACAACAGAGGCAACTTCTTTTTAGCATGCACTCTGCTGGTAGTACTGCCTCCTTTTGGCAGGGATACTGAAAATCAACAGTCAGATATGAACAAATACACCGTTTCACCTCTTTGCACAGGCACAGGAACACTCACTCACCTTTTCACATTTGGATTGGCCACAGTCTCGCCCCATAACCAGATAGTTTGTCTTCTTGCTGACATTGCCAGTTACTTTTCCTCCATAACGTTCAATCAGAGACTTGGCCTCATCTCTTTCAATACACTCCAGAACGCCTGTAATTACAAACGTCAGGCCTTCCAAGCAGTTTTCAGCTCCCTGAGAATCAAAGCATTGCGGAAAATGCCATTACCTGATGCAATTCTACCATGTACCTCTTCACCATAAACTGTTATAACCCCTAGCATGCCAAGTACCTTACAAAACCTTAAAAAATATAAGCCTATCGTACCCAGCTACCTAACAGTTCTAAAGCTGCAAAGCCACTAAAATGAATAGCTACCAACAAACCTTCACACATCGTTTACCTGACTGTAACACTCTGTGCTTCAAGCATAGCATGTCAGTCAAATGGATGACAGCAATCTTCAGCTTCAAGTAACTACTTTTCATCATCATGACTTCATAAACAAAGTACTGAATTTCTCAGTATAATTCCTTACATTTAGTCACTGCTTTGCATTACAATTTAGCTTTTTCCAACACATGCTTCCTATTTGAAAAAATACCAGTTTCTAAACAGTTTAGTTGGCACTTGTTAGATCAGGTATAGCAGTAAGTCTCTGACACACTCCACTTCTACGTATAGAATTCTGCTGTAGCCAGACTTACCTGAGGTATCTCTTTGGAACCCAGCGCTTTTGGACCCTCACGATTAAGGAAGCTTCGGTAGGCTTGATAATTGATTCGCTTCTTTTCAGAGTCCTCAGGACTTACGGACTTGGGCAGAAGAGAAAAAAAAAATTATGCACATATTACATAAAACCAACAAAAACTCAAGCATCACGGTTTAAGACATTTTTATGCACCAAAGGAAAAGTTCTAACACTTGGGTTTAATCTATTAAGAGAAGCTTGCTCTGGTTTTTGGTGTTTGTGTTCTTTTTCAGGGAGTGCAGCGTAAGGATAAGGGGTAATAGTTTCAAACCGAGGGGAGATTTAGATTAGACATAAGGAAGAAGTTCTTCACTGTGAGGGTGGTGAGACACTGAAGCAGGTTGCCTGGAGAAGCTGTGGATGCCCCTCCCTGGAAGTGTTCTAGGCCAGGTTGGATGAGCAACCCGGTCTAGCAGAAGGTGTTCAAACTGGATTATCTTTAAAGTCCTTCCCAACCCAAACCATTCTATGACTATGATTTTGAGGTATTTTTTTGTTGTTCTTTTTAAAGAGATTTCAAAAACTCACCTGAGAGTTAAAAACTCAACATACTTATTGTTTGTTGTCAAATTTCTGCATATTCATCTGTTTTCCATATGTACATGCTCAATTAATTCATAAATTGTTGCTTTAAAGTCACATCCTATTTTATTCCAGAATGATGATCAGGTATAGACAAGATCTACACTTATATGAAATCTACTTTGTAATATTTCTACTTTTAAGATACATATAAGCTTTTTAATCAGTAAAAAAAAAAAATATTTAAAAACCTCACCTCCAAAAAAGTTGCAGGCTCTCCCTCCCAATTACAACTGTTATTTAAATGTCAAAATTGGATATTTTGTACTTCACTATTAAAAAGTATGTTTTAAGGTTGCCAATAACCACCAGTGTATTTGTCACAGGTTAGGGCTGGGACGGCCACTAACGAAGGACAGATGCTCTCTATTGACCCCTCCTCCTCCAAGGCTTCAGCTTGAGAATGATCCTCATCAGAATCTTCATCATCTAATCCTGACTCTGACTCACTCTCTGCTTTTGCCCAGGAAGGACCTCATCTCAAATCTGCTTTAAGAGAACCCTGAGAAGGTTTTTGTCTCAAATCTGCTCAGGAAGGATCTTGAGAAGGACCCTCTCCAGGATCTGCTTGAGAGGGACCCTGAGAAGGACCCTCTCCTGGATCCTCCTCATCCTTCACTGGGCGATCTGACTTTGTCCTATGTTTCTTTCTAGTCATAGCAGCAACTCGTGCTGGTTATGACTGAGCAGGAGTGGCCTTAGTGGCTGTTAATTACAGTTACTGAATCAGGCAGTTAAAACTAAATTATATTCCTACCTAGTGGATCAATCATAATAAATATACTTCAGACATAGACTAGGGAAGAAGGGAAAAAAAACACCCAAACAATATCATTTATCATTCTAACAGCAGTACAGATCCAGAAGGTCACCACACTCACTAGGTAAGTGTCAGAATTCCTGCATTCTGCGTTTAGGAAAGTTAAATGTGAAAAAGCACTGAACTGATTTTGCAATGTACATGCATACCTTAACAAGCATTAAAGAACTCTCAGTTCCTTCATGCATTTAACTTACACTTTTCCAGCTAATTTGTTTCCTATATTTTTTTATACAATTGCTAGGAACTTAGAGCCTTACCAGTATTCAAATTCTTAAAAATTGCCCAGAAGACTCAAAGTACCAACAGTGACACATAAACAATAATAAATGAAAACTATTTTCCTGCAAACTCCCCCAAGACAACTAAGCTCATTTTGGTAGCTCCTACCTCAGTCTTCTTTGGAGAAATTTTCTCCTTCTTTGGTGTTGTCTTCTCTTCTTTCCCTGAAGAAGTTTTTTCTCTTGATGCTAAACCTCTTTTCTTTTCAGTAGTCTCTTCTTTTTGTTTCAGAGACACAAGCTTAGAGCTAGGTTTCAAAGGCAAGGTCTTATCTGTCAACTCTCTTGCTGTTTTACCATCAGATGCTTGTGGGGATAAATGAGAACCTTTTGAATGTTCAGATTTAGTTTGCTGCTTCACAGTGTAATTCTTTGCTTCATCTGTTGAGTTTGTTGCTTTCACTCAAAAGGAGGCAGAGGGAAGAGAACATGGATATAAGAATGTGTCTTATTAACATAATAAATTCATTAAATGTTTTCCATATTCCATGTCCTACCTCTTTCTGACTGCTTATGTCTTTCTGTCACACTAGGACTGCTCTTGATGCTCAATGCCGTTTGCTCTCCTCCCGAATCTTTCCGAGGCTAAGAACACACAATGCCAAAGTCAGAGATGCATGTCCCGAGCTACTGTTAAGATCCCAGAGTTTCCCTACTGTTAAGTACAACAGACTGAATGATATCTAACAAAGCTGATCCCTACCACAAGTCAGAATACAGTCTCCATCTACCAGAGGCAGGCAGATGGGCAAATCCTGCACGCAGCCATGCATGTAAATTCCTTAAGTCAAAGGCCAGACAAATTTCCAGGTTACAGTAAATTTCAATCCCAATTCGTTTACTGACTAGTCTAGAAGTGGTAATACTTGCTATATATTCAAACTAGCAATCTTAAATTCTAAAAGCCTTGATGTACAACCCAGCAAGTATTTCACTGTGCCTTACACGACAACTTATGAGAACTGGGAAGATTCTCACCACTGGGGTTAGTCTCAAAACTCTCAAGATCCCTGCTTGCCCCTTCTCTCAAAGCAAGAAGAGTATTCACCTCCTTCCTTTTTCTCCCATCACTTTTCACTAACTTGTGCCATTGACTCGTTTCACTTGATCTAGTCCTCCTAAACCAACAGAGCTATAGCCAGTCTAAAGTATGAGTCTTCAGCCACACACTTCACTCGATTAGGACCAGAATTTAAAATTCCACTGCGGCAGAAGCAGACAGCACAAAAATACAATGGTGCCTGCTGTCTGATTAGGAAGGAAACTATTTACTGAGGGAGGAAAACCCAGGAGGAAAGTATGAAAAGCAAGTATGTTATTTTCATGCAAACACTTTCTTGCTGGTTTTAATGCATTTGTATGAAGTCTCAAAACAAAGGTGAGCTGTCTAAATACGAACATAACCAGCAATGCAATTTCTAAAAACTACAGCTTAAAAAGAATTCAACCTTTTTCTTCTGCGGCGTTTCATCCAACATGGCCAAGGTTTTAGCAAATTCTTCATCTTCGTGCAGCTGTCTCTCCAGCTGCAAGAAAAAAAAATTTTAGGCTCATGTCTGACAAATTTTAATTCTACAATAATTTTTTAAAACTCTATTTGCTATTCAAGAGAAAAAGTTCATCTAAAATAAGACAGCACATAGCTGGAAAAAGCACATCTTACCAGAGGCAAATAAATTCCTGAAAGTGGCACTGAAGAACTACTTCTTTCCCCCAAAAAGAGAGACTGAAGTCTAGTGAGAACAGTAAAGTCTGGATTTGTTGCACTAGAAACATTAATAAGCCTGTACAATCTATTTTCAAAGAGGTTTTCTGCTCCTTCATATTTTATTGTTGTGTATCCTTTTCATTTAATAAGCAATCAAAGCTTGAAGGCAGGATCTCACAACAACCACCCTGCACCAAGATGCAACCTGTTGGCTTTAGAAAACTTACAAAAGCAGTCCCTTTAAAAGACAAGTAGGAACAATGCCTGTTAAGTATTACCATGTCTCAATAATGAATGTTTTCTTCTCACTTACTGCTACCAACATTGTTTGAAGAAAATACAATTAAAAAAAAAAAAACCACATACGAAAAAAATTTCAGCAGTTTTGGAGAGTTTAGCTACTGCCTTTAGCCTCGTTCCATTTACTTTATGGAAACAAATACATGTTAGCTGTTTAATATTGCTACTTACACAACTGATTTTCTTTGACAGAGGAACCACTAAGAACAAATACTGCACATGGAATCTGAGAAAGTTATTTATTAATAGCAAAAACCAAAGCTAGGTTGGTTTAATTTTGATTTCACCTAACAAAATAAACGTGACATCTACAGTGATAATCGATCATCAAGTTACCTCTCCTATCCAGTATGGCCCCTTGGGGAAAAATGTTCTATTCCTGAATAGTGTATATTGTTGCCAATAAACACTGATCATTGTTTTAACAAAACAACAAAAATCCTTTCATAATTGTCTTGAAGTCCAACATGCTATACTATAACATTCAAACAGAGGAATTTATAAAAACAATATGCCACAAGCATTATTTTCATGTGCCCGTAACAACGAAATGTATCTGTTTTCCCTCTGCACAGCGAGAAAGGGGAAAGGCAGTGACTACCAAACGCAAACCAGACTGAGGCGAGATACACTTGAAATAAAGTAGATTCCTTTCGTGGCACATACAGGCAATGACAGTGTTCTAAGTAATATCAGTTCAAATGAAAGACACCACCCCGGTATTCCTGACACGTGGTTTAACTTTCTAATAAATTAAAGCTAGATTCATCACACTTCCAGGGAGGTCAAGGATGAGACTAAGTTTTGCATGTATGCTATATTTATTTCAAATGATACTCAATAGCATGAACATATGGTAAATTAACTGAGTTTCCCAAAAGCAAGCAAATACTTATGAAAAGTGTACCTTTCCCTCATGTTGGCACCAATTCAAACAGGAAAGTTTAAGACACACACACAAGGATCATTTACATTTTTCTCAACTATAGGAAAACTCAGATGACAAGTGAAACAAGCCATAGATGGCAATGGCTTTTAATTTTTCACCCCGGAAGGGGAAAAAAAAAAAACAACAAAAACCCACAAACAACAAAAAAAAACAACAAAAGCCACCACCAACACACAAAACCACAAAAACCAAAAATGAGGAAGCAGAAAGTGAACTCTGTGTGAAAAGCAAGATTACTATAGACACATCAACTCAACTGCACAGGTAGAGAAAGTCTGGACAGACAGAAAATAAATTAAGTGAGATGATGCTACATTTACGTAACTGAAATAATGCCCGTAAAAATAACTGCATGACTATGTTTGCGTTAAATATATGGATGAATTTTATAACGCTTACTTAAAGCACACATGGGAAGTCTGTCTTAATTTCTTAAGGAAAAACAATTTTAAGTTAAACAAACCATTCTTGGCATAGAGCAGCAAATTTATAGACCTTTTACCTCTGAATCTTCTTCAAGCTGCAGTTGCCTAGCAATGGCCTCATCATCTACTGTGCTATCTCTGCTTTGCGAAGGCTGTATTTAAGAAAATAAGACCAACAGTTCAGTTTCCCCAATATCATGTAAATTATTATAATTTAATCTCTACAGATTTATTTTGTATACTTTAGAAAAGAACCGGGAATGAGACACGCAGCATTTTATTCCTAGCTCCTAAACACTATTAAACAAGGCTGTTTTCAAGAGAATTTACTATTCAAAACAAAACTATGCTATAATATAAATACTAATTTCTTCAAACAATGTTGAACATTTCTGAAGCTATCACAGTTGGCCTGCTTCAAAGAGAAATCAATAACTAAGTTGTGAATTTTTAAGTTACTCCATACTTCATTTGGCACTTTGTTAATCCATGAGTATATGTGCCATAAAGCTTGGGAAAACAACCTCCTCCCTCTCCCTCCTGCCCTTTGCCCCAAATATAAGCTATCCCATCCACTCACTGATCTCAGAAAACTACTTAGTTTTAAGAAAAGTCGCTTGAGAAGAAGCAATAGGGAAAATACTTCAACTTTATACTATCTTCTCAAACATGGAAATGCTACTCTAAACTTGCATTTGAGGACTTGATTTACCTGCACATATCATCAGAATTGAACTTGTAGTTGAGTGGTCACTGAAAAGTAACATTAAGTAGGACAAGCAGTTAAGTACCTCCCTGTAGTCATTAAACTGGCCATTTTGATCAGCCATCAGGTACACGAGCAGCCTACAGGAACATCATTGGTACTCACTTCTTTCCTTTTACTTGCTACCAATTTCTTGTCTGATCGTTGGATGCTACTTGTCCCAAAGTAATCAAGCGCTGAGGTGGGAGTCTGTTTCACTGGAGATACTGGTTTGCTTTTAGCTCGTGGTTTTACATCTTCCTTTTTCACCGTAGTTGATCCTGGACAACCAAGCGCTGATGTCCCATTCTCCCTCGGTTTCAGGGAAATTCTTTTATTGACAAAGTCGTCTTCTTCATCTAAACATGAAGAGTATTTGATTACATCTGGTACATGGAACTGCCAAGAGAACTACTTTGACAGGTTACATCAACTCATGTCCTAAGAAAATACTAAAATCTAAATAGAAGTTGGGGGGGGGG